ATGGCCTCCACCTAGCAGCTTCTTGCTCCTAGTATCGATGGCCTCCACCTAGTAGCGTCCTTGCCACTAGTAGATGAAGTTCACTGAGACTGCCAATTCACATGGACCCTGCGGTTTAGCTCTGCCAGTGGTTTTCAGGGGTCCATGTGAGTTTTTCAGCGGGGTGCACTGTTAATACCTTTAACTCTGATACTCGTAAGTGGGATTTGCATAGCTTGTGCAGTACATGATTCCGGTTGAATACCTACTGTAGCTTGATACTTAGCTCATCTTAGCTCTACATGGGACAGCGACTTAGCCAGAATTGAGCGTGGTAACGGCGACCTCCACGAAGGTCCAGGCGATGACCGCAAGGGACGTTCGACAGATCGATGTTGGTTTTCCTCGTTCCGGGAGGTTTCTTGATCCAGTGCCCGGACGAAAGGATCTGTTCCGGTTGCCCTAGGCCCCTAGGCAATCCCAGGCACTTCGAACGGGTGGATGTGAGGAAGGCGAGGGTAATGCTGAATGCGATCCCATCTTGGAGATTTCTCGCCATGAGCATGGCGAAACACACTTTGAAACACTCTGATGCTGCTCCGAAAGAACACTTCGAGAAGCACCGGTTAATTGTATTTTGATGGTAAGAATATGTAAGAATGGTAGTTTCCGATAACACCAGCTGTAAGAATGGTATTTTGATGTATGTTGTAACATCATTCCCCATGAACCACAAGAATATCAGCTGTCATTTCTCAGTATGCATCCAAGACTATGCCAAACGAGCGGAACATGTTTGCATAATGACCTCAATGAGTCATTGGGCACGTTGGGGCACCAGTCTCCACAAAAACTATACACTGCCCTCTCCCTCTAATTACAGGTAAATCAGGAGTCCTGCGTTTAAAGGGTATCTACTGAGTAGTGAGCCCTCATGTCACCTGTTCCACAATCGCCTGGTGCCCAGGCAGCGCACCGCGCCACAAAAGAAGAAACGCCTGCACTGCGGTGGTTGTGTTCAAAACGTGTCGCGGTTGTCGAACCATCAGTGCGGAGAACGAAGCAGATGAGATCCACTCAGAAGTGCGACCCGAGCATTCTGTGAAGCTTCATCCGACGAATCCCAGGTGAAAAAGGAAAAGACGTGAGATATCGTGAGATATTTGGTGCAAAAAGAGGCCTTTAGGCCCTAAAAGAGGGAAGATGAGGGATGTTGCTCTTTAGTTTGTCAGAAGTCCCCACTCCACTTCTTGGTCACCCAAAAGCGTACCCTGCGAGTCCAAGCTTTGATATCATTGTTCTTCAACCAAACCAAAGACAGAACTTCAAACAAACCAAAGAACCAAAGAACCAAAGCTTTGATATCCAAGCTAAACAACCAAAGAACTTCAAACAAGTTCATTTTCCCACCGAAAGCGCCATGCTTCGAGCCGTGCTGCCTCACACGTGCCCTCGTTCTCCACCCTTCCAACGGGCGTTCGTTGGTGGTAAAGGCCTAAAAAGGACACCACGACTGGCCCATGTGTTGGGTGGATTAGCATCAAACTGAGCAGGTGTCAAGGAAAAGAAAGAGAAGAAAGCAAAGAAAGAAAAGAAGGAGAAGAAGGAGAAAAAGGACGCCCAGAGCTACGTAGGCTTTCGCAGCAAGTGCAGCATTCTTGGTTCTTCTTGGGAACCCTCATCAAACCTGGCTTTGCCTGACTCTCTCATGTTTTGCCCCTAACTTGAGACTCCTCCAACTTGGGGAAGAGATTCTTACACACCAACTCGGCCAGCCGGACGCCCTTGCGGACGCCCTTGTGGAGCTCCTGACAGGTTCCCATCGTCCCATGATGTCCAACGGCTGGTTCGGTCCAAAGCGGTGCAAAGCTGTCCGGGATACTCCGGGTATGCTGTCCTCCAACTGAGCCGTCCAGGGTGTTGATGTGATGAGAATCCAACTTGTTACCTCCCAGATCCTCCCAGTACTTCAAGGGCTACCTTTTTTGGGGGGGGAAGATGGAAGAAGGACCGATCCAGGAAACAGATAGAAGTTCCGTTGCCAGGAGAAAAAAGTGAAGAAGAACAAGGACGATGATGTCGTCAGAGGCTTAAAGGTCCCCAAGGCGTCACCCGACGACAAACGGTGCAATTCTTCTCAAACATGTCCCTATATGATCCCTATTAGGTGGATTGAAATATCCCCATGGGCTGCTGAGCTATGCTATAATTATATAGCTATATAATCCTCACAAAAGTGATCGGACAACACGTCGATGATCTCCACTGCATAAAAGGTTGAGATTCGATTTGTTGATGACATGGGAAAACCTCGATGCAAATCGGACTACTTGGAACATGTACTGTCGTGTCAATTTGTTTTACGTTTCAGATGTGGGTCAGTTTGTTAGTCAATAGGCCAGAATATTGATCATTATTTGGGGGGGTTGATGTAGTGATACTAGCTGTGTTTATTGTTGGCCTGAGGTGTCATTCAGCCAAATTACAATAATAGATGGAACAGGAACACACATTCTGATCAGACGGGTAAAACCCGTTCAAAGGCGCTCATTATTTGAACAGCAAACAGTCTAGTTTTAATCAGGTTTGATCCAATGTGGTACTCCAGCTAGACACGCATGTTGCAGTTGGGATACCATGTTCAAGCACATTGTCTGAGGTTCCAGTAGCAGATGAGTGTTGTGGACGGAGGGTCTTATACTTCAGGCAGACAACAGTTTACGCTTGTTAGCCTTCTTACAAAACACTCTGAGGTCAGCGGCGGATCGAATTAACAAGTCTGATTTTCGTGGCAGGTATGGGACGGTCAATTTTCGTACCGTTTTGAACTTGTAACAATAAAAGGCTTTCCGGGGTGACAAATGACCGCCCACAGCTTCCCTTGTCTCATGGTGTAGGATTCTAGGGGGATAGAGTTGTCATGAGTTTCAACGTCAACAAGCGCAACTTTCATCTGGCCAGTGCAATACATTATATAATAATGATGGGCCCTCCCGTCGTAAATTATTCCAGGGTAGGGTCACCCCCAGGAATAATTTTTCAGAATAAAGTTTTTTTTAGGAATATTAAAACCACCATGTTGAAGTTGGGGTGGGTGGATGGTACCCTGGAATAATAAGGTCGGAATTGACTTGCTCCACCATGTTCCCCTGTTGGGGTGGGTGGGTGGGACCCTGGAATAATATGGTCGGAATGGACTTTCAAGGCGTGATAAAGGAGTGATGTCATAACTTCAAAAAGACACATCACATGCTCGCATTTGCAGCTGGCTCAAAATCCAAAAAACGATCACAATCATGGGGGAACAGGAAAGGTGTCACAAGGATCCTTATGACGCCTTTCGTTGTTAAACCTTCAACCTCTCTTGCCAGAAAAGAGAGCTGTCAGATCTGTGGAACTGCGAAAAAAGTGGCTCGGGCGATCTCGGGCCAAATGCTCCCCATTGCGTAGGGGTGATCACATCAAAGCCGCCCTAGACTTAAATCTGCTGTCTAGATGCCTGTGACTTCCAGGACGGCGAGTTCACGCCAGAAGCCAGACCCAGAAACCAAGGAACTGTCAGATCAGGGCTCCTAGGTCATAGGCGCCCCACAGCCACGGTGTTTTTTAGGGCGCCTATGACCCAGCACCTGTGACCTGACAGTTTCTTATTCCTTGGACCCGGGTCTACTCCCGAGTTTTGGTGAGACCAGTTCAAAAATTTAGTGCCGAATTTGGTGTGTTTTCTTTCCTTGACTAAAATAATTCCAGGGGTGGGTTTGATGTGAAGGACCCTAGAATAATTTAGCAATTACTCCAAGATGTGAAAGTCGATGCGTTTTGATAAATTGTGCGTCCCAGCTTGGGGAAAGATTTTTGGAAGTCGATGCAAAGTTGCGTCCTGCTGGTGTTTAGCAGATAGACTTTTTCTCAGAAGATGACTTTTCCATGCGCATAGTGCACACCAGAAATCAAATAAAGCCGCCACTAGGTTGCAAACTGGTTGTTGCAAAGCGAGCGCTGTTGGTGTTCTTACTTCAAGTAGAGGAAGTGGTACCTGTGTGTGCTTTGGAGCCTGGGTTTGTGCGCATTGAAGCCTGCTGCTGCTGCTGCTGCTGCCTAGCTGCTGCTTGTCTGCTGCTTGTCTGCTGCTGCTGCTTGTTTGTTGTTGCTGATTCAGGATTCCTTGCCGCAGCATGATTTAGATCATCCAGTTTCTGGTGAGGTTGCGGCGAGGAATTCTTGAATCAGGCCGCAGCGAGAAATCCTGAATCAGGCCGCGGCAAGGAATCCTGAATCAGGCTGCTGCCACAAATCCTCGACAGAGTTGGTTGCTGTGGTTAATTCAAGACACATGCTCAAGCCGGCCAATGATCAAACCACAACCATCACGAAGCCACACTGGAGCATGCACATGGATTAGTATCATTGCTTTGGGGAACCGTCATTTTGGTGGAGTGGATCATACGGCGTCCCATCGTGAACTCAGTCAAGAAACATACAATTTCCTTCGTTTCCTGATCATTGTTGGATGTGCGTCCACATGCTGGAATACAGATTTCTGAGGCGTTCAAGTAAGATTAAACGATAGAAACAAACATAGTTTTATCGCTGCGTCCTGATGGTGATTTACATGTTTTTGCATTGACTTGCTTGACTTCCTGAATGCGCGGCGTCTCATGTGGCACTGGCGTGGTTTCTGAAATTGCTTTGACTTCTGCGGACCGGTGTAGCAGTCTTCTGAGCAGGGACATACAACAGGAGGCAAACTGGCCATTTTGGGGCACATATCTTGCACAGCTTCAGGTCAGACGTCTCACAGCTTCAGAGTCCACAAGAAAGATGTGGCTGGGGCGCCTATGACCTAGGAGCCCTGATCTGACAGTTCCTTGGTTTCTGGGTCTGGCTTCCGGCGTGAACTCGCCATCCTGGAAGTCACAGGCATCTAGACAGCAGATTTAAGTCTAGGGCGGCTTTGATGTGATCACCCCTACGCAAGGGGCGCTTTGCACAGTTCCACAGATCTGACAGCTCTCTTTTATCGCAAGACCAGTTTTCGGAGTCCACAACAAAGATTTGGTTGGGTCGCCTATGACTTGGCACCCCTGATCTGACGGTTCCTGCTCTGTGTTTGCTCCCAAGTTTGGTTTCTGGGTCTGGCGTGGGCTCGCCGTCCTGGAAGTCACGTGGGGGGTTGCTGATCTGAAAAGTTCAGCCGTTTTGCCGCGTTTTGGATCACTTGACGCGACCGGAAACGAGGAGGAATCAAAACGCAGAAGATCACCGTAGTGAAACTGAACCTGTGTTTTGGAACGCGTGTAAGATCACTTATAGACTGCAAGGCAGACATTGGCTGTAAAATGCTGTAAATTATTCCTTTTTGGCCAGGTGTAGGTCCACCACCCCTGAATAATAAAAAAATATGCTGGGGCCCCATCCACCCCGGGGCCCCAGATGGGAGGCCCCATGATTGATGCATGTTTGCATATATTATCTACCTGAGTGAATTTCAGTTACTATGTGTTGCTGTAAGGAACCAGAGTTTTCATACAAGTGTATGCTTCTTTCCGGAACTGGTGACCGAATCTTCCTGCCGATCGAACGTGCACACTCCGCACCAGGGTGAACGCGGCCCGCCACGGTCCGCCACGGTCCACGTTTGCCAAGCTGGGTTGGTGCCCTCCTCCTGAAACTATCCTGAACTCTGGAACCACCATTTGGAGTCGAACTGTTCGTACCGAAAATGACTACAGTACTGGACAGTACCCGTTGTTCGGGTCATAGTCATAGTTATATTGCACTGTTGTTCGGGTACCCATGCTTGGTTTTACTTAAGGCACCGCATGTTTTTCTTGAACTGGATGAATCCTCCGGGGAAGATTTCTTTCCGGTTTCTGGAGCAGCAAGTCGGTCGCCGCGATCAGTCGATCTATCGCGTATTGCCGCGTTGTTTGGCAGCACGGCAGCTGCGGTGGCACGCCAGCTGAGGTCAAGAGGGTGAAGGTGGCGGAGCCGCGTTGGTCGTTGGGTGTGGTTGATCGAAATCCTAATCAAACGACATGTTCGAACAAGCAACCAGTTTTTTAGACTCCCCGGCGGGTGCGAACTGGAACTGACCAGAATTTAACCGATTCACAGAAAGTGACTT